GTTTGTCTTCAGTTGCTACAAGATAACCTGTAAAACATTATTGTTGTTATTGTTGTTGTTATATGCCATCAAATTGCTTGCGACTCATAGCGACCCTATGTATAAGAGCCCTAAACTCTGCTCTATTCTGTGCCAACCCCACTGTCTCTGACACACCTACTCCCATTACCCCAATCACTGAATCAATCCATCTCATTGAGAGTCTTCCTCTCTTGCACTGTCCCTCCACCCTCCCAAACTTGATGGCCCTATCCAAGGACTCCTTGCAACATGCCCAAAGACCCTCATTGCAACATGCCCAAGTATGTCAGACAAAGCTTTAGAATCCTTGCCTCCAAAGAGCAGCCCAGTTTCACCCTCTCCAGGACAAACTTGTTGGTTCTCCTAGTAGTCCATAGTATATTCAATATTCTTCTCCAGCACCACAGCTCAAAGGCATCAATTCTCTATCATCCCTTGTCACCATCCAGCTCTCTGATGCATAGCAAGCAATTGCAAAGACTATGGCCTGGATCAGGTGCACCTTAGTCTCCAGCCTGATGTCATTGCTCTTAAGTACTCTGTAGAGGTCCCTGACAGTTGGCTTTCCCAATGCAATTCATCTCTTGATTTCCTGGCTGCTGGTACCAAGAATGTTGACTGTGGAACAAAGCAAACTAAAACGGTTAACAATCTCAATCTCTTCACCATCCATACTGATGCTGCCAATTGGCCCAGTGGTGAGAATCTTTGTTTCCTTGATGTTGAGCTTCAATCCATATAGGAGGCTGCAGTCCTTGACCTTCTGCAGTAAGCGCTTCAGGTCCTCCTCAGTTTCAGCAAGCAGGGTTGTGTCATCTTCATAATGCAGGTTGTTGATGACTATTCCTCTAATCCTGATGCCACATTCCTCCTTGTACAGCCCAGCAACCCAGATGATCTGTTCTGCATACAGATTGAAAAGGTATGGAGACAGAATACATCCTTGGCGGACACCCTTCCTAATTTTTAACATGCAGTGTCTCCTTGCTCTGTTCTGACGACTGCCTCTTGGTTCAAGTATAGGTTTCACATAAGCACAATCAAATGTTCTGGGATTCCCATTCTTCTCAGAGTCAGCCACAGCTTGTTGTGATCCACATAGTCAAAAGCCTTTGCATAATCAATGAAGCAGATAGACATTCCTCTGGTACTCTCTGTTTTCTGCCAAGATCCATCTAACATTAGCTATAATATCCCTAGTACCTCGATCTCTTCTAAATCCAGCCTGCACATCTGGCAGCTCTCTGTTGATGTGTTGCTGCAGTCGTTTTTGGGATAATTTTCAGCAGAATTTTGCTTGCATGTGATATCAATAAAACTGTTCGACAATTTCAGCACTCTGTCGGGTCACCTTTCTTTGGAATGGGAAAAAATATCAATCTCTTCCAGAATGTCCCTCACAGGATACACTGATGAGGTGGCTCTTGTGGTGGCTGCTAACCCAGAAACACCCACCCTGTAATATCATCTAATCCTCAGGGTAGAAGGCAGCATGATTTAACCAACCAGGTCTATTTAAATCAAATTCACTACCACCAAGTCAGTTCCTACTCAGAGCCACTCTATGGAGTAGAACTGCCCGCTAGAGTTTCTGAGGGTGTAAACAGGAGTGCATTGTCTAATCTTTCTCTTATGGAGTGATCAGTGGATTCAAACCACAAACCTTTCAGTTAGCAGCCCAACATTCAACCTACTATGCTACCCAAACACATGCATACCTTAATGAAGTCCCCAGTAGAGGTTCTGAATACAGAAGATCCATGAGCCCTGGTTGGTGAAAGATAGCAATGCACATGGGAGGGTAGAGTCCCTTTAAGAACACAGAAATTCCACACTGTGAAATTTCCCAAACCTCACTCCAGGCACGTCTTCATTTGTGTCTTTTTTGCTATAATAAAACTCTTATTGGTACAATCAGAACTGACTCATAACTGACCATCCAGCGGGTTTTCAGAGGCAGTAAATCACATGGGAGGAGATGGTCCATCTTTTCCCCATGGAGCAAATAGTGGATCTGAACCTCTTGCCTTTGGGTTGGCAGTGCTACTCCTTACCACTAAGCCCACAGAACTCCCTAATAAAACTATAGTTAATCATAAGTGTAAAACTTTCCCTGAGTTCCATAAAACATTTGAGCAAATCAGCCCTCCCAAAGGAATAGTAGGGGTTGTCAGGTACCGCTGAGTTGAATAGGACTCAGAGAGACCCTATGAACAACAAATAAAAATCTTGACCTATTTGGTGTCAGCCTCACAATATCTGCCATGATTAAGCCTAATGGAAATAAAGAGGACCTAGGGAGCTCTGGTGGCATCTTCTGTAGGGAGTTGCACTACTAAACCAAAGACCATGACTCTCTAATGATTCGAGTACACCAGTGGCTCCAAGGAAGAAAGATAGGTAATCTCTTCCTACATGATTTATAGCCTCAGAAACCCAATGGAGGGTTGCTAGGAGTTGGAACCAACTCAAAGGCAGTGAGTTTGGTTTGGGTGCTTACAAGTAGGATCCTGCGGGAGTAGAGGAAACCTTCAAAATTCATAGCAGCAGGTCAGAAGTGAGAGGTTTCTAATAACTTTTAAGTTGACAGCTGGTGTACTGTAAAGGTAGCAGGGAAAATTTCCAATCCGTATATAGCCTGCACATCACACACAAGTGAGAATGTTGTAAAGACTCCTAAGCTTGCATTTGGCATCTTAGGACAGATCTGGCAGTCTGGAGGACTGTGCTCTTTAACTTGGAAGGTCTGACCTAGCTCAGGGTGGATAAGGTCAAGAACTGCTCTATGTGAGAACGGAATTGGATCAGAGGGGAGTAGACTGTATAAATCGCAATGACTTGAGAAATAGTTTGTTTTTTCGTTTTCCATGCAAATTTTAAACCTCATTTAAATTTATTTTATTAAAATAAAACTAAACAGTCACTATTGTTATTAGGTGCTGTCAAGTCAAGTACAGTGCATACTGGTCACTGTCGTTGCTGCTGTTGTTGTTTTTGTTGTGTGCCACTGAGTCCGAAGCAACACACAGCTAACCCTTGAGCTGATTTTAAAGGGTAGGAAATCACACAGGGAGATTGCCTATCCTTCTCTCTCAGAGCAGCTGGTGGATTCGAACTGCGTACCTTTGAGATTGGGATTGCAGTGCAGTTCTTCCCACTAGGCCACCAGAGCTCCATATCAGTCCCTAGTGACAAATAAACTGACCTCTCGTACCTCATATTCAGGAAGAAATGTTTCACTTCATACTTAAACTTCAGGTAGGGTGCAGCAGTATTATTCAGATTCTTCCAGGTGCCTAGGGAACTCAGTGACCTAGTGGTAAGGAGCTGTCTGCTGACCTGAAGGCACCTACCTTTTTTGAATTCACCAGCAATCTCCTCCCATACAACTTACTGCCTCTGAAAACAAACTGGAGGATCAGCTATGAAACCACCTGGAGTTGGTTTTGACTTGACAGCACATAACAACAGCAGAATTCATAGTAATTTGTGGGAGCCCTCTGGGAGGATAGTTAAGCTTCCAAACTATTAAAAAAACAAAATATTGCTAAATCAAACTCTTTCCTACATTAGATTCCAGTATATGCATACATGGGTAAACTTGTAGGTAGAGGTAAGAGGATAGGAGGAGAGTGGAGGAATAAAGCATTATATTATTTTAGCAGCAAAACTCAGAGTTCACATTATATCTTTTCAGAATACTTTGAAAAGCACTAAATTAGAAAACTACAAATTCAGCCACATGTATATGTGCAGTTGAGAGCAGATCTCTTAATGTCTTTTTACCCATGTTCAAAAATACAAGCAGCACCAAATAATCGCCTCAGCTACTAACCATCTGTGATTTGCTTTTTCATCTGCCTTCAGCATAGACAGATTTGGCTCAACTGAACAGCAATCTCGGGTGAGGAGGGCCCTGACGATAACAGAGCTCTTGTACTGACGCACCGCATTCTTTCTGACTGATTTCATCTCCTTCGTCGTGGACGTAAGTGAACTGAGCACTATTCATTAAGGCCCTGCTTGTCCACACTTCCACCTCTGATTTCCCTGACTTCTCCTCACTGATCTCAATTTTCTGGATTGTGAATTGTCTGGAAGATAATTACAAAACTTGCACTACATGATGACTGACTGCTTCTACCTCCTCTCTTGTGAGTAGCTCATTAAGGCACATCTGTACACTGTACATGTAATATATCTTTTCTCTGCCACACAAACAATGCACCAAGCAAAAAAAATCCAACACAGACCTGACCAGCCTGTAACAGATTCGTTGATATTTGTGAGAGCTATGAGATTTTTATTCAGTGTGCCTTTAGAGTGAATGATTACTTCAAGTGAAAAAGCCATTATTTTTCATCTTAAAAAAACTTTATGCCTGGCTTGCCTTCAGTTTTTATTTCGACTCTTAACAAGGCCTGTATGTCAGGGCCATCACAGGAATGCACTTAATAATGGAGAAAATGCACAGAGACAGAGAACCAGGCTGGTTGTCTGAGTCTCCTCAGAACTTGCCACAACCACCTTCCAAAACTGATTTTAGAGCAGCAGAAATGAGCACATGCCAGGACACACAGGGCATTCCAGAATATTTAGCTTGGAAACGCTTTGAGTGTGTTCTGACTTTGGATGTTTTCCCCTCTCTTCATTATTTTTACTTATTTTGCAAAGTAAGCTAAAAAATATTTTCTAGTGCCGTATTTTTACTGTAAACTGTCACATACTTGTCTGCTTTATCTTGTGTCAACTGAAAAAATCAGTTCATCAGTTTTTTAAATTGAGTATGAGCAAAGTTTAACAAAAGCAAAACCAAAGAGAACCCCTACCTATCTCTGACTAGACAGACAGATAGATATAGATAGATTTTATTTATATCTTTTTATTTACAGATTTATATATATATTCAAATTATATAAATTCAAATATTATAACAAAGAGAAGACTAAAGAGAGAAGAAAAAACAACTTTTAGCTTACCATAAATAGGGGAAAATGTGAAGTAGTCCAGATGACAAATATTATAGGCTTCTATCCGAACATCTTTCCAGATTCCTTGAGTAGGAAAGGAAGGCCCCCAGTCCCAACTAAAGGAACACTGCTTCTACAATATCAAGTGGGGAAAGAGAAGATATATTCTAAGTATAATGAAATTTTTTTTAAAATTTTATTATTTTTGTGTGCGTGTACCGTCAAATCAGATCTGACTGGTACAGGAGGAGATTGTCCCTCCTTCCCTGGCAAAGCATCTGGTGGATTCGAACCGTTTGCCTCTGGGATTGTAGTTGCAGCTCCTTGCCACTAGGCCACCAGAGCTCCCCTAAGTATAATGAAATTTAAGCATGAAAAGTCTATTCTTTTGAAATAACATATCCAAATATGAGTTTTGGGGTTTTTTTTCATATCCAGCCTCTAAGATGGGCCCAAATGACCTTCTCTTAGTATTCATGTCCTATGTCCTTTTTCTTTCAGTATGGGTTGTTGTTGTTGTTGTTAAGTACTGTCAAGTCAAGTATGACTCGCAGCGAGCCTATGAACAATAGACCTAAAGGCTCTCCTATCCTGTACCATCCTCATAATTTCTGACACATTTAAATTCATTGCCACAGATAGTGCATCAATCCATCTCACTGAAGTCTTCCTCTCCTTCACTGACCTTCCACCTTTTCAAGTATGATGTCCTTTTTCAAGGAATAGTCTCTCATAACAACATGTCTAAAATATGTGACATGAGGCTTCATCAACTTTGTCTCCAAGAAACTTTGCCAAAGGTTGCACTTTCTCCAATACATATATGTTTGTCCTTTTGGCAGTCCATGGGATATATTCAGTACTCTTCTCCAACACTACAACTCAGATTTATAGATTCTTCTTTTGTCATCCTTATTCATTGTCCAGCTCTCAAATGCATAGAAGGTGAGTGGAAAGACTGTGGCCTGAATCAGATGCACCTTAATGTTTAAATTGATATCATTGCTCTTCAGGACTTTGGCGAGATCCCTGACAGTCTCTCTTGATTTCCTGACTGATGGCACCAACAGTGTTAACTGTGGACCCAAGCAAGATGAAATTGATGACAATTTCAAACTTTTCTCCACCTATCAGGATAATGCCTATTGATCTGGTGGTGAAAAATTTCTGTTTTCTTGCTATTGAGATGCAATCCTTATTCAAGACTGCAGTCTTTGATCCTCTGAAGCAAGCACTTCAGTTCCTCCTCACTTTTTTTTTTGTTTTCACCTAATTTAATAACAACTTAATGAACTATTACATAAATCTAGGGGGAAAGGAGTTTATTTTAAGGACGCCAAACTGTGCTAGTCACAGTAAAGACCAAAAGCAACGTAAATTTAGAACTTACAAGACTGGTCAGTAACCTGAAAAGCAGTTTTATTTAAACGTTGCAAAGATCTTTCCCAAAGCACTTACAGCAATTTATATCAAGAAATCCTAGGTTTAGGCGTGTGGTGGAAACGATTCACTTTTTTGCAAGGTAGAACTGTCACCTTTTCCATGATTGTAATTGGTCACTTCCCCCTCACAGACCTAAGCTACTTGTACATTCAGAAGTTTGTAATCTGCTGTTCTGAGACATTGTTCATTCTCTAGTACAGACACAAAGTATAAATAAATAACTACAAAGAAGTTCTTAAAATCTGAATTAACATTATGCTGTGCAAAAAAAAAAGTAAACCCCCCCCAAAAAAAAAACCCCAAAAACAAAACATCAACCAACCAGCCTTGAACAACCTACATTCTATGGAAATACCCTGACTACAATGTGGTTGTGATACCATGACTGACTTTAGTGCAGAATGGTTGTTGATTTCTGTGTACCGTTTTTTTTTGTTTGTTTTTTATGGTTTAGGTCTTTAGCACTTTTGTTTCCAAGCATCATCGTGCTTTTGAAAAGGTGAATAAACTGCTATCCGCTCGCAAATCCATTTTTGTTTTAGTCTTAATAAAATCCAGCATAAATGAGTGTTTCTTTTTTTTGTTCTGGGAATAACGGCTCGGTGGGTGTCTCTATCCCGGCAGTTCGCTGGTTCTCGGGGGGCAGCCTACAGCCCACACTGTCCTTTTGAGTTGACACCGCACAGAACGAGGAGACAGTGAAGTTCGTCTTGTGTTTTTTGTTGTCTTTTTTTTTTTAAGCCTCCAGATCTTACCAGGGCAAGTTCTTCGAGACCAACAGTCGTGGCACCTGATCCTTACTGGATACAGAGGCGGGTTATAACCAGCGTCAGCCGAGCTTCGTGATCTGGAGGTCTCCGTTGATCTTTATGGTGTCGATGGCTGATAACGTTTGAATGCGGTGGTAAAAATCAAAGAGTTGGTGTCCGTCCACAAACACTCTGAACCTCGGGTGCTCACAGAGAATTTCCACCCTGAATGGCTGGTCCAGGATGAATGGAAAGTAGGGGATCGCTGATTGCTCCTCGCCCCTCTCGCCAGATATACAGGAGTTTCTGAGGAGCTGGCGGTCTGTGAACACGGCTTTGAGTTCAATCGCCACATCAGCGAGGGGATCCTCCGAGTCACCACAGGTCAAGCTGATTGCAAAGCTCTCCGGGTTGAGGTCTACGATGCCCATCACCAACACCTTCTTGCCTGGTCTCATGCCACCTTTAATGTGCCCGCAAAATGGAACTATCAACCGTGGGAAGTACACCTCCGCTTGAACTGGAGAGCCCAGGGAGTTGTTTAAATGCCCATCGTCTAGTTTCACCACAAGAAATTCTTCTGATATTTTCTGCTTTCAGCCAAAATCCATCTGACATCAGCATTAAAGCCCTGGTGCCATGGTCTAAACCCAGCCTGAACTTCTAGTAGTTCTCTGTAAATTGCTTCTGTATTGAAATATGCAGAACTAATGGGTGGGAGTCACTTTCAAAAATTAGGTCATACAGGATGTCATCTTCTGTTTTGAGCACTCTTTCTCACTCTCTTTTGGCCAAAGGGGAAGCCAGCTGCTGTGCTGTATGGCAGCCTTTGTAGAGAAGCCTATGTGAGTGAGCTGGAAAGTCAGTCTTCTAAGACCTACCTGCCAGTAACCACATGCGTTAACTAGGAAGCTGGCACTTCAGGTCTAATCATGCCTTGAGGTAAGAACAGCACAGCCCTAGCCAACTGCTGACTCATGAGAGAGCAGAAGCCGAAGGCACCAAGCTATTTCCCGACTGGTAAAAATTATGATAATAAATGTTTTAAGCTAAGTTTTGGGGTAATTGGTCATATAGCAAAAGAAGACTAAAACACTATACAGTAACTCAACTTACATAAGTTAAATAGGCCAAAATTTTCTAAGAACATTAAATCTAATTATAAAGCATTGCATATTTATTTTTCAAGAGTCTATTACATTAAACAATGCAATGATGACTCCATAAAGTTCTCAAAAATATCTCATGGCCTAATTTTTATATCTTTATTAGGAAGGAAGTTCCAGTTTGATTTAAGATCTCACATTATTAGCTCCAGCTATAAATGATGGACTTGAAGCTCTTGAATTGGTCTCCAAATTCACTGGACCATGTCAGTCTAGCCAGAAACATCAAGATGCAATTAACTATTCTGGCATGTCTGCCCAGGGTTTCTGTCTCGCTCACTGTGATAGAATTCTGGATCTGATTCTTGATGAAAAAAGCTTTGATCTTCTATCTAGACAGCTTGGAAGTCTTTTAAATTCAATAGGGTGTAGAAGAAAAACACCACATGGATATGTGATGGATCAGCAGAAACAATACTCTACTGATAAATTCAAAAGATAATTGTATCTGGTTAGAACCTGATTAGATCTGTTTATAATAGAAGCCCAAATAGGAAAGGAAGTCTCTGAACAGTGTCAACAGTTAACAAACTTAGCTACTAACCAAAAGGTTAGAATTCAAGTTTATCCAAAAACACCTCAAAAGAAAGGCCTGCTGATCTATTTAAAAAAAAATCAGCAGCAGAAACTCTATGGAGTACAGTTCTACTCTGACACACAGGAGACGTTATGACTTGGAGTCACAAACACAGTGATTCAAATCACTAGGCCCTCTGAAGGCAAAGGCAAACAGTCAAAAGACAGATACAAACAGAATATATTATGAAGAAAAAGAATTACAAACATCCATCAATAATTCGAACATGGAATACACATAGCTTGAATGTTGGAAAACTAGAAATTATGAAAAATGAAATGGAATGCATGAACATCAACATTATAGGCATTAGTCAGATGAGATGGACTCGCTTTGGCCACTTTGGATCAGATAATCACAGCGTATATACTAAGCTGGGAATGAAAAACAGAAAAAGAATGGTGTTGCATTGATAGTCAAAAAATTAATTTAAAGTTCTATCCTGTAATACAATGTTGTGAGTGATAAGATATTGTCCATTATGTATACTGTATTGAAACAGATGAGGGAAAGAACAGATTAGAGGCGATATATGATTGAGTATTATGGTTAGCACAGGAATTCAGAATTAAGGTTGCATAGAGAAGTGTATTTGGGGCGGGGAGTGGAGGGAGGGATGGGGGAATTGCATACCAATGAAGGAATTTTTTTTTTCTTTTTCTTTTCAGAAAGGGGAGCGAACTGGTGGGGAGGTGGGGAGAAAAGTGCAGCAATGAATGAATGGATATCCAAAATCTCTGTAAATGTTTACTAAAATTAATTTTAAAAAAGTAAAAAAAAAATATTATCCATATGCATGCAAAGAAGATCCATTACTACACCTATTATTTAAATATATGTCCCTACATTTAAAGTCAAAGAGAAAGAAATCTAAAATTTTTACCAAATCTTCCAGTCCTAAATTGACCAGGCATGCAATGAAGGATGATCGGTGACTGGAACGCAAAAGCTGGGAACAATGATGGAACAGTAGTCAGAAAATATGGGGATGGTGATAGAAATAAGGCCAAAAATAGAATGGTAGAATTTTGTATTTTCAATGATTTAGTCATTGCAAATGTTGTTGTTGTTATGTGCCATTGAGTTGCCTGTGACTAATAGTGACCCTATGTACAATAGCCCTATACTCTGCTCTGTCCTATGCCAATCACACTGTGTCCAACACACCCGCCTCGATTACCCCAGTCCTTGAATCAATCTACCTCACTGAGGGTCTTCCCCTCTTGCACTGTCCCTCCACCCTCTCAAGCATGATGTCCCTCTCCAAGGACCAGTCCCTCCTTAAAACATGTCCAAAGTATGTCAGATGAAGCCTCAGAATCCTTGCCTCCAAAGAGCAGCCTGATTTAACCCTCTCCAGGATGAACCTGTTTGTTTTCTTAGCAGTCCATGGTACACTCAATACTACTCTCCAGCACCGCAGCTCAAAGGCATCAATTCTCCTTCTATCCTCCTTAGTCATTGTCCAACTCTCTCACGCATAACAAGTGATTTCAAAGACCATGGCCTATATCAGGTGCACCTTAGTCTCCAGAGTGACACCATTGCTCTTCAGTACTTTGTCCCTAACAGCAGACTTTCCCACCACAATACATCTTTTATTTCTCTGGCTGCTGGTGCCCAGAGTGTTGACTGTCAAGGGTATCATCCAGGAAGAGTGCAAATGGTCATGACAAAGACTGAGGAGGAAAAAAAGACCAAAATAGATGTCAGAAGAAACTCTGAATATTGTACTGGAGTGCAGAGAAGCCAAAGCAGAAGGAACAATTCAAGATACTAAAGAGCTGAACAGAAGATTCCAAAAGGCAGCACGGGATGACAAAGTAAAATATTACAATGAAATGTGCAAGGAGCTGGAGTCAGAAAATCAAAAGGGCTGGACTCACTCAGCATTTCTTAAGCTCAAGGAACTGAAGAACAAATTCAAATCTCGAGTTGCTACAATCAAGGATGCTTTAGGCAAAATATTAAGTGATCCAGGAATTATTATAAGAAGATTGAATGAATATACGAGTCACTGTATCGAAAGGAATTGGCAGACACAGAAGAATTTCATGAAACAACATATGAGTAAGAGCCTTTGGTGACGAAGGAAGAAGTTCAAGCTGCTTTGAAGGAAATAGCAAAAAATAAAGCCCCAGGAATAGATGGTATACCAATTGATGTATTTCAGCTAACAGATGCTGCCCTGGTGTCAGGATTGGTGGAAGATCTATCAACAGTCTGCGATAAGCAGATGACACAACCCTGCTTGCTGAAACTGAGAAGGACCTGAAGTGCTTGCTGCAGAGGGTCAAGGACTACAGCCTTCAATATGGATTGAGGCTCAATGTCAAGAAGACAAAGATTCTCACCACTGGACCAATTGGAAGCATCAGGATGGATGGTGAAGACATTGAGATTGTTCACAGCTTTAGTTTGTTTGGCCATTGCAAATACCTTTTCTAAAAAAAACAAAAACACAAACAGTAACATTACACACAGAACTCCTCTGATGAGCTACATAGCAATCGGATATATTACCTCTGCAGAAGGAAGCATTGGAGAAGCTCAGTATCAGCAGTCAAAACTAGGTCAGACCATCAATTCCTCATATGCAAGCTCAAACTGAGGCTGAAGAAAATCAAAACAAGTCCACAAGAACCAAAATATGACCTTGAGTCTATTCCATTTGAATTTCAAAATCATGTTAGGAATAGATATTTAAAGCTTTGAACACCAATGATCAGAGATCTGATGAGTTGTGGGATGACATCAAGGATACAATCCATGAAGAAAGCAAAAGGTCATTACAAAGACAGAGGAGAAAGAAAACACCCAAAATGGATGTCAAAAGAAATTAAAAATTGCAGTAGAGCATCAAGAAGCCAAAACAAAGGGAAAACATGCTGAAGTACAAAAGCTTAATAGAAGATTTCAAAGGGCAGCTTGAGAAGACAAAGCAAAGCATGCTAATGGAATGTGCAGAGAGCTGGAACTGGAGTGTAAAAAGGGAAGAACTTGCTCTGCATTTCTCAAGCTGAGAGAACTGAGAATAGAATACATGTTGTCGTTAGGTGCCATAGAGTCGAATACGATCCATTGTGACCCTATGAAAAACAGCTGAACCCTGCCATTCTCCTGACATACTTCCTAACACACTAGAACCCATTGTGGCAGTCACTGTGTCAATCTACCTGGTGAAGAGTCTTCCCCTCCTTTGCCAACCCTTCGCCTTTCAAAGAATCATGTCCCTCTTCAAGGAATAGCCTCTCCTAGCAACATGCCCGAAGTAAGTAAGGCAAAGCTTTATCATTTTTGTCTCCCAAGAGCCCTCTGGCTGCCTTTTCTCCAAGACATATTTGTTTGTTCTTTTGGCAGTCCATGAAACGTTCAGTACTCTTCTCCAACACCACAGCTTAAGACATCACTTCCTCTTCTATCATCATCTTCCTTCATTGTCCAGCTCTTGGATGCTTAGCAAGTAATTTAAAAGACCAGAGCCATGACTTCTGATTCAGGTTATAGTTCTATTAAATACTTGACTGCAGAGTATTGCCACGGAAATATTCTAAGATTGTTCTGTTGTTACAGCAGTGTGAACAAATGATTAAAGAGTCATTGACACTAGTTATTTTGCAAACAGAAGGAGGTACAATTTTGACCTCAATAGGCACTGTTGTTATATACCACCAACTCCATATTGAGTTGTGGAGCTTTATATGACAGAGTAGAACAGCCCCTTCGTGTTTTCTGGGATGTATTCTTTATGAGAGCAAATAAATCCCCAGGTCTTTTCTACCACAGAATGGATGGGTTCAAACTGCCAAGTTTTGGTAGTTGAATACTTTAGCCAGTGCACCACAAGGGATCCTTATAAACATGCTAGGAAAATATGTTAACAGTAAGACCATTCAGTCAAAAAAAGTCATTTAACTAGTCATAAATAATCAGAATTTATCAGCTGACATCTTACCTAGGGAGTGCTGGCAAAAACTTTTAGCAGTTTCACAATAAACCCAAAGTGTATATTTGTTGGTAAAATTAACTATCATGATAGAATACATATCAACCATGTATTATAATAAATCCAAGTCATCTACACTAAGATAAAAAATAATTCACTTTGTAGATTGTGTTAGTTTTCATGAGAACCTAGCAGTAAGTAGGAAAGCAAGTCAGCAAATGTGCTAATATTTACAGATTAACTGGTGAGAAGAATCAGTAATAAACTGAACTCCATAGTCTGGTAAAAAGATGAGTAAACCTCTATGCTAGCAAATAATTTATATAACGTTAAAGCACTGGTATCATGTATTTTTCTTTTTTTAATTGTACTTAAATTCTGAAGCATAATTCAGAAAACTAAAAAGGAAAGCCTGAAATCATAAAGATTCTCTACAAATATCCAGATAATATTTTTCTTTTTCTTCCAGATTTTCCAATTCCACTGAAGCAGGCAGCACTCAAGTTTCCTAAGTGCCTCTGGAATCTTCAAGTAAAGATTTGCTGTGCTGCCATAGTCAATTCTGAAGGCTAAAGCTCCACCCATCAATACAGCTGAGAGAATCTTACCTTTCGAATAAAGTTGACATGGCATTCCCCCTTCTGCACGAGTGGGGGGCAATCTGGAGGCACCGGGTAGGCAGTGTGGGCCTTGCTCTGTCTTGCTGCATACAACACGGCTGACAGGAAACGTAGCTCAAGCACATTCACATCTCTCACCACGCTGGTGATATCAAAGCTCTAGATTCAGATGAGACAAAACATACATTTCATGATGGAGACATACCTTCCTGAGTAAACTTTTCAATAGAGGCAAAATGGATAGTAGAACTATGAGTCAATTTTTGTTTTGTACCGTTGAGTAGGAACCAACCTAGAGCAGATTTTCCAATGGGTTTTCAGAGACAGAGACTCACAGGGAGGAGACTGCCCATCTTTTCTCTCGAGGATCAGCTGGTGGATTCAACGCATGTTCCTTTTCAGTTGGCAGTGCAACTCCTAACCACTAATCCACCAGAGCCCCCTGGCATAAAATAATTCCAGTGTCTGTTTAGCTTCTTCACAGTAGGAAGCAGCTCTGTAAATAGATTTTCATTGTCCACTTTTATTTACAACTAAGCAGTCTCCTTCACACACACTTACCTCTAGGTTTCTCCTATTCCTACTCCCAGAATTATTGTCCTAAAAAAAAGCGTGAAGAGAAAATGCATCTACCTAAGAATGTCTGCTCTGGCTATTTCCACATAGCACTGAAGTGCCAAGGATTTCCTAGATGCTCATGGTGACCTGATGCTGTGGTATGAATAGCATGTATTTCTAAGTCACAAGCTATTTTTATTTTGAAATGTCTCCCTTAAAAAGGAAGGAGGAGGCTAGTATAACTGTTCTAGAAAGAAAAATATTTTTTTTATCTTCTTCTGTTTTAGCATTCTTATTGTGGCAAAATATATATAAGCAAACATTTGCTGTGTCAACACTTTTATATGTTAAACTTTCAAGAAACCAAACGTGCTGCCATCAAGATGCCATCGAGTACCATCACTAGCTCATGGAGACCCTCCCCTGGGTTTCCAGGGCTGTAAATTTTAATAGGAGGAAACTGTCCTTCTATATCCTATACTTGTAATTCACTCACTCATTCAGGCATTGCCATTAAGTCACATGAACTCATAGTTAACTCTTAGGTTTTTGGGGGCTGTGATTGTCCACCTTTCTCCTGAGGAAACGCTGGTGGGTTTGAACAACTGGTGGATTTGCCTTCAGATTAGCAGCACAACTCCCTACAGACCAGGCCATCAGAGCTTCCTAGGTACAACTAGCCAACATTAATTACACTCATCAAGTTGTACATCTATCACCACTACCTGCTTCCACATTTTTCTATCACCTTTAGCAGAAACGAAGTGCCCACAAAGCAGTGAGGAATGTTTTCTTTTAAATTTTTTTGTCAGTTGCGTGAGTCCCATGAAACTGCAATTCTCCTATAATGTTAACTAAGAACTCTCTTCCCTGTGCATTCGCAGGTACCAATCACCACTCCAGGATGGGGGGGAGGAGGGGAGACCAAAGCCTTTGGACAAACAATACTAGATTGATTTTGACTCCCGACATCAGTGGCTGTCAAAACAGAACTTTGCTCCATAGAGTTTGTAATCTAGGTTTTTCTAAAGTAGATCACCAGGACTTTCTTCAAAGGGATAAATGACAGACCAGTAAGATCAAAATGCTACTATGCACAAATCAGAGTCCCTAGTTGCAAAGTGTTAACATGATGAACTGCTATCCAAAAGGCTAAACGTTCATGTGCACCCAGAGGCACCTCGGAACAAAATCTGGAACTCGACCTGCAAAAGTTCAGCCACTAAAGACCCTATGCAGCATAATTGCGCTCTGGGACAGGAAGAGTCAGCAACAGTAACTGGCTTTCAAATTACCTGTTCGGTTTCTTCTCTCTATAACAGATACATCAGAAGTTTACCTTAAATAAGATTGCACTTATAAAGGAGTTCACATGTTTATGCCCTTGCATACAAAGTATCTATTTTCTCTCTCCATCCCCTTCCCTCTACTTCGTTCCCTGCTGTGCTGTCTTGTCCTGAGAAGTGCCTTACACAGCATGACCACTGAGGTCTTAGTACCTTCCCCACTCCTAGGAGCAAGCTCAGATGAAAAATCCCACGCATGAGATTCAACAACAGCCAAAACAAAAGTATATCTGTATTCTATTACCCATCACATTAACTCCCTAATCCCCTTCATGTTTTCAAATTATTAAATTGGAGAGCAGCTAGATATTCCAAAAACAGTTGTCTAAGTTATTAAATAAAGTACTCGGAAAACAAAACGGCTTATGAAGTTTTCCTATATGATGTGTGCCATGCAGGAGGCACCTGACACACCTGAATTCCTCATTTCCCCCATTCCTATCCCCATTTCCAGAATATACAGCTACTGGTATCTAGTAATTGAGGACAAACTACAGTTTGAGCTTGTCCAGAAAGCAAACACTAATGTTGAAACCAGCATTAGAAATAACCATGATTTAATTGTATATTTACTTGAGTTATCACAATTTCAACATTTATCCTTCTTCATATTTCAGAGCAAGCGTTCTTTGAAAAAGTTCTCTCATATATGTACTAACAACGGCACTCATTTTACTCTGCAGAATTGTAAAATTAAAAAAGACCATGTTGTAAAAACAGCTGTAAACAAAAATTCATTTGCAGAATCTCTCACTAAATATTTTGTCAGTATGATAACAAGACTAAAAAATTAATATAAATCAACATGAATGCTTTTTGTAAATATTTTCTTGGTGCTTTCTGAAAGTATTATACACTTTGAAATACCATATAACTCTGAAAAAAATGTAATATTCAGCATTTCAATTGAAACTGTTAAATATAAGGACATTCCAAACATAGAAAGGAGAATGATATTTGTCTAATGTCTTCTTTCTATGTGCCAAACACGTCATACAATTAGTTTATTAAATCCTCATAATAAGACCATGGAGTATACAATGTGTCCATCCTTTTTTTATAAATATGCCAAATGAGCAAGTGCTGAATTTGTCTGGATGGTCAATTAAGCATTTATCTTTCCTTATTTTTAATAATAATTTATACAGGAAGAGGGATGGGCAGAGAGAAAAATGCAACAATTAATGAACGGAAATCCAAAGTCTCTGCAAACTTTCATTAAAATCAATTTAAAATTTTTTAAATATCATAATTTAAACAAGCACATGTAAGCAATTTTTTTAAACTAGAAGTCACTGTATACTTACATATCTATTGAACATGTTGTCTGTTTTCCCAATAGTGATGTTATTGAGCAGGATTTCTGAAACTGTATCAACACCTTCAAAAATCAGGATTATTTTTTGCCATTTGCTGGAAAAAAATATTTTTAAAACAAGATACATATCATTCACTTGGATTAAATCTTATTTATTTAGTATCTAAGAACTAAAGGAATAAATATTTCCCAATTTATTCTTAGAAAGCAGTTCTCAATGAAATGTTCAGGTACTGATTTAAAACACTTTTTGCACTGGACTGCTTCCTGCAGAAAGCTGAAAAAGGATCCACATCTCACACCATACCCAAAAATCACCTCAAAGAGGATCAGAGACTTGGGAGTAAAGACCAAAACCATAAAGTTCATAAGAGACAAACTGGGATCAAGCTAAGAAGCCCTCATCTGTGTTATAAAGAAATTGCCAAATACAACTAGAAATGCACAATCTGAAGAGGATAAAATTGATGAATGGACCTTGTAAAGAATAAATTCCTGTGTGCATCAAAAGCTTTTTCCAACAGGGTGAAAAGAAAACCTACTGACTTGGAACAAACATTTGGCAATACCATCTCAGACAAGATTTCATAATGAAAGGTTATAGAATACTCCTGGGCCGCCACAAGAAAAAGATTGTTAACCCAACTACAAAATGGACAAAAGAAATGGAAAGAATTTTCACAGAGGAAGATATTCAAATGAACAAGAGATATATAAAGAAATGCTCTAAATCACTGGCTATAAGAGAGATGCAAGTCAAAACTACAATAAGATATCATCTCACTCCAGTAGCAGTGGCAAAGTTTAACAGGACAGCAAGTAATAAATATTAGAGAGGATGTGGCAAGATAGGAACTCTTTTACATTGTTGGTGGGATTGTACAATGGTATGGCCACTCTGGAAGGCAATTTGGCGCTTCCTCAAAAAGCTGATCATAAAAGTTCCATATGACCCAGCTATTCCCTTGCTTGGAATACACCCTGAGAAAATGAGAACTGAGGCTCAAACAGAAACGTAGACACCAACGTTCACAGCGGCATTATTCACTATCACAAGAACATGGAAAGAGCCCAGATATCCAACCATAAATGGATGGATTGAGAAGTTGTGGTACATTCATACAATGGAATACTACGCAGCACATAGGAGCAATGATTTTATAAATTACTACCTAACTTGGGAGGGACTGGAGACCATTATGATTAGTGAACTGATTCAGTCCCACATGGACAAATACTGTATAAAGCCATTATTGTAGAATGAGTATGAGGATCCAAGGCAGGAAGGAGTGTGGAAATAGAGGTGAGGATGGGACGCGGGAGTGTAGGGCGTTAATCATAGGGTTGCACAATTTGATTGGTGGGTGAGGTGATGAAATGGGAGGGCTTTTTCGTGAAAAACAATGTACTTAAACTTTTTAAACAAATCAGTATAAAATTTTTTATAAACTATATTTTGCATTCTCTGAATGATCCCATTTATTAGTCTTCAAAATATGTCAATCTCCATAAAATTGAGAGTACACCTTAAAATTCTCAAAGCATTGATTGGCTTCGAGTTACTTTGCAAAGTTCTGATGTTAATCAAGTTAATGGAGCCAAAAGTATTTTCATAAAATATTACGTTTACTAACATACAAAGGAGTATAAAATACACTAGGCTCCAGCTGTGGCCACCACCTAGTGGATTTTCTATAACAAATAAAGTGAAATATGTTCTAGCAAAAAAAAAAATACACTAGCAATATGCTCAACATTCCGCCAAGACTTTTAAGGAACTAAAATAGTCCATGTACTTAAGAATCGTGCAATTTGGTTGGTATTCAAGATCACAACACAGGAAACAAAAACAAAATGCTCTACCTATCCTACTAAGTAATATGACCTTATTGAATAGCATTTAAGTGCTATCAGAGTTTATGTCATAGGAAACAATATTAAGAGAAAAAGGAAGTTAAGGAGTGATAAAATAAATAAAATGTAGTATGTCCTAGAGGAGGGATCAATGGTGGCCTAGTGGCAAGAAGCTGCACTGCAATCCTGAAGTCACCCAGGTTGAGTCCACTAGCTGCTTTGAGGGAGGAGAATGTGCAATCTCCTCCTATGCCATTAACTGCTTCTGAAAACCTGATGGAGGGTCAGCAATAGGTCAGTTTTGACTTGATGGTACACAACAACAACATGTCTTGAAGGTAGTGCAACCAGGTTACTCCTGAGAAGCAAGGCTGGCGAAACTTATCTGACATACTGTGGGCATGTTGTCAAAAAGGGACAGTCCATGGAAAAAAGACATCATGCTGGGAATGGACTTGAACATGTTGGAGATCGTCAGGTTGGAATAGGTAGGGTCGCTATGAGTCGTAGTTGACTCACCTGCACATAACAAAAATAATGTATGTAGACAGTTGGGTGTTATTCAGCAATAAAAAGGAATGGCATGCCAATACACAGATGAACCTTGAACTGTGCTTTCTGAAAGAAGAGTCACAAAGGATCACAGGTTGTACAGTATCATATATAAGAAAGTTTCAGTATATGCAAAACCATAAAAATGAAACGTGGATTAGTGCTTGCCTGCAGTGGACGTAGGAAGATGGAAAGAATGAAAAATTACTTGTAATGAATAAAACTTTGTTTTGAAATGAAAAGGAAAATATTCTCAAATTGTTGTTCTTGTTGTTATGTGTCGTCGAGTCGCTTGCGACTCATAGTGACCCTGTGTACAATAGCCCTAAACTCTGCTCTGTTCTGTGCCAATCGCACCCTCTCCGATACACCCATTCCGATTACCCCAGTCACTGAATCAATCCACCTCATAGAGGGCCTTCCCCTCCTGCACTGTCCCTCCACCCTCCCAAGCATGATGTCCCTCTCCAAGGACCAGACGCTCCTTACAACATGTCCAAAGTATGTTAGACAGTGCCTCAGAATCCTTGCCTCCAAGGAGCAGCCCAGTTTGACCCTTTCCAGGATAAATCTGTTTGTTTTCCTAGCAGTCCATGGTACCCACAATACTCTTCTCCAGCACCATAGCTCAAAGGCATCAATTCCCCTTCTATCCTCATTAGTCATTGTCCAACTCTCTGATGCATAACAAGTGATAGCAGAGACCATGGCCTGTATCAGACGCACCTTAGTCTCCAGAGAGACACCATTGCTCTTCAGTACTTTGGAGAGGTCCCCAACAGCAGACTTTCCCATCACAATACGTATTTTAATTTCCTGGCTACTGGTGCTGAGAGTGATGACTGTGGAGCCAAGCAAACTAAAGCTGTGAATAATCTCAATCTCTTCACCATCCATCCTGATGCTGCCAATGGGACCAATGGTGAGAATCTTTGTCTTCTTGACATTGAGCCTCAATCCATATTGAAGGCTGCAGTCCTTGACCCTCTGCAGTAAGTGCTTCAGGTCCTCCTCAGTTTCAGCAAGCAGGGTTGTGTCATCTGCATATCACAGATTGTTGATAGATCTTCCACCAATCTTGATCCCTCATTCCTCCTCATGGAGCCCAACCTCCCGGATAATCTGTTCTGCATACAGGTTGAAAAGGTATGGAGACAGGACACGATGCTTTAGGCAGAATATTAAATGATCCAGGAAATATTAAAAGAAGATGGAAAGAATATACTGAATCACTGTATTGAAAGGAATTGGCAGACACAGAAGAATTTCATGAAACAACATATGAGCAAGAGCCTATGGTGATGAAGGAAGAAGTTCAAGCTGCTTTGAAGGAAAGAGCAAAAAATAAGGCCCCAGGAATAGATGGTATACCAATTGACATATTTCAGTTAACAGATGCTGCCCTGGATGTGCTCACCAAGTTGTGCCAAGAAATCTGGAGAACCACCACTTGGCCAACTGACTGGAAGAGATCTATATTTGTTCCCATTCGGAAGAGGGGTGACCCAAAAGAGTGTGGAAACTATAGAACAATATCATTGATTTCACAGGCAAGCAAGATTCTACTGAAGATTATCCAAAAATGACTGGAACAACACATCAGCAGAGAACTGCCAGAAGTCCAGGCTGGGTTTAGAAGTGGTCATGGTACTAGGGATATTGTAGCTAATGTTAGATGGCTCTTGGCTGAAAGCAGGGAATGAGGAACGTCTATCTGTGTTTCATTGACTATGCAATGGCATTTCACTATGTGGATCATAACAAACTGTGGCTAGCTCTGGGAAGAATGGGAATCCCAGAACACTTGATCATTCTAATGCGAAACCAAGAGGCAGTCATCAGAACAGAGCAAGGAAATACTGCATGGTTCAAAATTGGGAAGGGCGTATGCCAGGGATGTGTCCTGTCTCCATACCAATTTGTGGAGTAGTTGTACAACTCTATAAATATACCAAAAATCACTTTAAGTGGTTAAATTGGTGAGTCTATTATATCTAAAAAAATGCTATTAAAGATTTATATAAATATCTAGGTAGAAGGTAGATACAAGAGAAAAAGCAAAATCAAAGCAGAGAGTTAGCTGCATCAATAATATTAAGATTATAACCTGAATTCAAGTGTAGAATTCAGGATTGTCTAGTAGCAAGACACTGCACTGAAATTTCAAAGGCACACAGTTCAAATCCACCATCTGCTCTGTAGGGGAACGCACAATCTCCTCCCATATTATTTACTGCCTCTGAAAATGAGCTAGAGGGTCAGCCATAAATTAGTTTTGACTCGATGATACCAACAATAAAGGGAGATAGTTGGACAAGTGGCAGAAACAATGCAGAGTAAACAGTACAGGGATAGATAGGATTAAACCATATTTTTTTCATATAGGCATAGACATTTAAGCTTCATTTACCAAATACCATTTCTCAGCAAGACGATATCATGACAAAAGCAGAATTTTAGAAGATGAGTCTGAAGTTCCTACATACCAAAACCCACTAAAATAAAAGTCAACATAAATAGTTAGGTAGCATTGACACTGAGTAATAAAAGGGAACTCTGATGGTTTAATGGTAAGAAGTTGTATTGTCAACCCAAAATCACATGGACCAAATCCACCAGCTGGTCCTTGGTCCTTGGCAGAAAGATGGGCAATCTCCTTCTGCCTCTGAAAATTCACTGAAGTGAATACTTTAGGCAGATGGTTTTGCTGTTGCTGTTTCTTAGGTGCTATCAAGTTGCCTGCGACTCATAGCGCACAGACCCTATGCACATTATCTCTGAATCCTGCTCTATCCAGAGGAAATCAATCTCCGTGTCTCTGACACACCTACCCTGAACCCCAGTTACTGTGTCAATCCATCTCATCCAAGAGCTTCTTCTGTGCTCTCCCTTCACCCTTCCAAGCATGATGTCCTTCTCAAAGGACTGAACCCTTCTCACAACATGTGCAAAGTATGAGACAGAGCCTCAAAATCCTTGCCTCCAAGGAGCAACTTGGCTTCACCCTCTCCAGGACATATCTGTTTGTTCTCTTAGTAGTCCATTGTATGTTCAATACTCTCTCCAGTACCACAACTCAAAGGCAGTAATTCTTCTTCTGTCATCTTCAGTCACTATCTAGCTCTCTGATCCACAGCAAGTCATTGCAAAGACCTTGGCCTAGATCAAGTGTACCTTAGTCTTGAAACCAATATCATTGCTCTTCAGCACTCTGGAGAGGTCCCTGACAGCAGATTTTCATAAAGCAATTTGTCTTTTGATTTCCAGACTGCTGGTGCTAAGAGTGTTGTTTGTGGAACCAAGTAAGCTAAAGTTATTAATAATCTCAATCTCTTCTCCATCTATCATGGTGCTGTCAATTGGCCCAGTGGTGAGAATCTTTGTTTTCTTGATATTGAACTTCAGTCCATATTGTGGACTACAGTCTTTGACCTTCTGCAGCAAATGCTTCAGGACCTCCTCAGATTCAGCAAGCAAGGTTGTTATCTGCATAACGCAGGTTGAAACAGATGATAAGTCAAAAAATACCTCGGGGGGGGAGAAATCATCAAAGTCTGAGAAAACTGTTGAATTAAGTGGAACAACTTTCAGCTACACAATAGATAGGGTTCTATAGGGGGAGTAGAGAGGCCTACGACCAGAGAGGCATATATACACTCCTTAAAACTATCAATCATACAAAATTAAAAGGGTAGCAGCCACGCAGGGACAAGAAGAAAAGGTTTAAAAAAAAAAAGCACTACTGAAAAAGGATGAAAGAAAACAGGAAACATCAAAGAAGTAGGAAGGATGTTGTTACAGTGCGAGGATGACAACGAGGGCATAAAACTAAATGTGTATAAACTGTTGAATTGAGAACCATTTTGCTCTGTAAACTTTCACAACAAAGAAGTTTACAAAGTCAGAATGAGATTGTCAGAAAATTCTGATTTTAAGAAGTAAAGTCAACCACCAGATGCTCTGCTGGAGAAGGAGGGGGCAATCTCCTCCTGTACCAGTCATATCTGATTTGACGGTACACATAATAACAATAAAAATTTTAAAAAAAATTAAAAAAAGAAGTAAAGTCAAGTATATGTTGAGTGCATTTTTTATAAATAAACACAGCTAAGACTTCACCTCACCTCTTTGGACATGTAGTCAGGAGCGGGGCTAATTCTTGGAGAAAGGCATCCTGTTTGGTGAAGCAGAGGGTGAAAGAAAATGAGGAAAAGTGTCCACAACATGGACTGACAATGTAGATACAAGCGGTGTAAGCATATGAGCACAGCAGCAATTATGAGGAAGTGCAGATCTTGTTGGGTTCTATTATGCTTTAAAAAGGGTCAACATAAGTGGAAGATGATTTGACAACATGGAGGAACAACAAGGTTAACTCTAGGCCACATCAGCTCCACTCACTGCCAATGAGTCAGTTCTGAGTCATACAGATCTTCCATCAGGTTTCCGAGACTACAAATCTTTACAGGAGGAGATGGCTCATCTTTCTCCCAGAGTGAATGTGAGCCCCTGGAGAGACAGTCTTTTGGCTAGCAGTACAACATGCTTCAGAATAAATCACAGGAGGTCCTTTGGTAAGAGAGGATTTAATAAAAATATTTAAAACATTAATGGTGGCACTCTGGAGACTAAGGTGAGCCTGATATAGGCTATGGTCTTTGCAATCACTTGCTATATATCAAAGACTTGGACAATGACTAAGGAGGATAAAAAGAGAATTGATACCTTTGAGCTGTGGTGTTGGAGAATAGTACTGAATATACCACGGACTCCTAAGAAAACAAACAGGTTCATCTTGGAGTGGGTGAAGCCATGCTGCTCCTTAGAGGCAAGGATTCTGAAGCTTTGTCTGACATATTTTGGACATGTTGCAAGGAGGTACCATTCCTTGGAGAGGGACATCATGCTTGGGAGGGTGGAGGGACAGTGCAGGAGAGGAAGACCCTCTATGAGGTAGACTGATTCTGTGACTGAGGTAATGGGGGTAAGTGTGTCAGAGACAGTGAGAATGGCACAGGATAGGGCAGGATTTATGGCTGTTGTACATAGGGTCGCTATGAGTTGCAGGTGATTTGACAGCACATAACAACATCATCAAGAACTAAGAATTGGAAGCACAGTACCTGCATGACATTAAGTGTAATATCAGACTTTCACTTATTTGGTGGTGTGGTCCATAGGGAGTTTTGCATTAATCCAAGGGAGGCTTGAATATACCAGCAGCTCTTTGGGAGAAAAATGTGTATCTCCCTCCAAGTAATTTACAATCTCCAAAATCTCAATGGAGTCAATTAGGTCCGTTTTGATTCCACAGCTATGAGTTTTAGTTTCAATTTTGTTTTGCTTTTCTAAATTGGACTATTTTTCTTTAAGAGATTATTGTTGTTGTTATTATTATGTGCCATCAAGTCGCCTGCAACCCACAGCAACCGTATGTACAGAAGCTCTGAAGCTTGCCCTGTCCTGAGCCAGGCTCACTAATTCCGACACACCAAATCCCCATAACCCCAGTCACTGTATCAATCTATCTCATCTGGAGTCTTCGTCTCCTGCTCTGTTCCTCCACCCTTCCAACCATGATGTCCTTCTCTAAGAAATGGCCCCTCCTGGTCACATGTCCCAAGTATGAGTCGAAGCTTCAAAATCCTAGCCTCCAAGGAGAAACCTGGTTTTACCTTCTCCAAGACAGACCTACTTGTTTTCTTTGTAGTCCATGGTATGCTCAAGACTCCAGCACCACAACACAAAGGCATCGATTCTTTTTCTGTCATCCTTAGTTATTATCTAGCTTTCTGATGCATTGCAAGTAATTGCGAAGACCATGGCCTGGATTAGGCTTAAGAGATTAGTACTGTATAAAAGGTACAAAAGAATTTTTTTCCAAATTAGTAATAATGACATCATGGATTGGACTCTGCCTCAAATGTAAATATAATACTTTAAAAAACAGAACATAACTGAAAGCAACATCCATGAGAAAAAAATCTCCATGGCTTCATAGTACAAGAACAAAGACTAGTTAGCACCACACAGAACAAATGATGTGTATCTGATTCTACCTAGCAATATAAGAAATATGTACATTCCTCTGATTAATGGGAAGCACAGAGGAGGAGATGTAGATAAAAGAAGGTGACTAAGCTAGGTGACTATTATTACCCTTGCAGTAGGCAAGAAAGCAACAGAAAACTAACATTTCTTTAATATTTCAAAACATATAAATGTCTTTTTTAGTTGAGATGTACCATTGAGAGAGGCCTGCTTCTCAGGCTGGAACCCTCTGTCCTCTTGAGTTGTTCTAAATTAATTTCTGTTGAGTGGGAAACAAGTCATAGCTGACCCTCCAACAGGTTTTCAGAAATTGTAAACCATACAGGTAGAGAATGACCATCTTTCTCCCACAGAGCTGCTCGTGGATTTCAACTACCAGAAAGACACTTCCTTTGGGTTATCAGTGAAACTGCCTCTGGATAAAATTACCAGAGTTGCTTTGTGCTTAACCTAGTCTACCAATATCCTCTCAGAGAGCCTTCTCTGCTAAAACAGATTTGGGAAGCTCATAACCCCTGCCTCCTATATGCTGGAGTTTTTGTTGTTGTTATGTGCCCTTAAATTGGAATCAACCCACAGCTGACTCTCCAGCAGGTTTTAAGAGGCTGCAAATTGCAGGGGAGGAGACCGCTCACTCTTGTCCTACAGAGAAGCTGGTGGATGCAGAGGCTTGTCTTTGGGTTGGCAATGCAACTCCTTAACCACTAGGACAACAGAGCCTCCATGTTGGCATGTATCATAAAACATCTGGTTTCTCCACTCCAATTATTTCTAAGATTGGTTTTGTGGCACTAGGTGACAGAAACATGTTTTTCCAGTAAAATCTCTAGAAAAAATAACCCTGGGAGAACCAATCTCATGTCTAGCACCAGTGGCACCATCTTCATATGCAAAAACCAAAGATAAATCTGTAATAACTTTTGTAGCACTGGGCTTTCATTAGATTTCATTTTAACCAAGGCAAAACAAGAGATTATTGCTTAGTCAGAAAAACACTCTAAACTTAAGTAAATAAGATAAATACATACACACATACCTCACATCAAAGGGGGTTGTAAATTCCTTGATATAGGTCCAGTTATCCAAAGAGATCCACCTGTAGTTAAGGTCATTAAACCTGTAGTAGGGATCCTGTTGATATAAAGTAAAAATTACGGTTGACTGTTAAATACGGAAATACAAATTAAAAAGTAAACATGAAATAAATTACTTCAACACTCAAAACTCAAACTCTTTGCAGTCAAATTGGGACCAATGCATAGTTGATCCTCTAAAGGCTTGCCAGAGGCTGTCAATCAGACAGGGGTTGCTCTCATCTTTCTCCCAAAGACCTGCTAGTGGATTCAAACTTCCAGTGGGGGCCACCTTAGGCTTAGCAGCATCCCTCACTACAGATTATGACATCAGAGCTCAGCACTCAAAATAACCAGCAGGTTAGGACCTAAAATTAATGAAGAAAAAATACATCAAAACACCTATGAGAAACAACGATGAGATATCATCTCACCCCAGTCAAAATAGCAAAATTTAACAGAACAGCAAGCAA